ACCCGAGTAGGCGTCAAGGAAACTGAGGAGGGCGTGTCCGGAGGCTCCGTCGACTAACCTGTCAATGCTCGGCAAAGGGTATGAGTCCTTGGGGCATGCTTTGTTTAGGTCGGTATAGTCGACGCACATACGCCACTTCCCCGAGTTCTTCTTTACCAGGACCACGTTTGCCAGCCATGTGGTGTACCTGACTTCACGGATGAAGCCAGCGTTGAGTAGTTTCTGTGTTTCGGTGATGATGGCTTCCCGTCTTTCGCCACCGACCTTCCTCTTCCTCTAGGCGACTGGGTTTGCCTCCCTGTGTATCGCTAGCCTGTGGCAGATGAAATTGGCGTCTATGCCTGGCATATCAGCGTTGGACCAGGCGAAGAGGTCGGCATTTTTTAGGATTTTTGTTTCGAGCTGTTGTCGCAACTCTGGGGTCAACTGTTTACTGATCTTCGTGGTATGTCTGGGGAGTTCCCCGATCTGGAGGTCATCGAGCTCGTCAACGGGGCTGGGCCGCTCGTCGCGAGTGTCGGATCTTGGGTCAAGGTCGGTGACTTTTCCGTGGTCGGTGTGAGCCACGGTGGCGAGGTTGCTCTTGCATTGTTCACTGAGTGGGGCAACTTTCAGGCTTTCGGTATAGCATTGCTGTGCCACCTTCTAGTTTGCTTTGATGGAGATGATCTTCTCGTCGTGTCCTGGGAACTTCATGGTGAGGTATGGGGTGGATACCACCGCTCCGAGCTGATTCAAGGTTGGCCTGCCGATGATGATGTTATAGGAGGTGTCGGCTTCCACGAGGAGGTACCGAACCATGATTCGCCTTGAGTCCGAGGTGCCCCGAAAGTTGTTAGTATGTCCACATACCCCCGGGTGTGGACGCTCCTTCCTGCAAAACCGACTAGGGGTTCTGTGTGAGGTTGTATGAGAGAGTGGGGGACAACCTTCCTCTTCCTCTAGGCGACTGGGTTTGCCTCCCTGTGTATCGCTAGCCTGTGGCAGATGAAATTGGCGTCTATGCCTGGCATATCAGCGTTGGACCAGGCGAAGAGGTCGGCATTTTTTAGGATTTTTGTTTCGAGCTGTTGTCGCAACTCTGGGGTCAACTGTTTACTGATCTTCGTGGTATGTCTGGGGAGTTCCCCGATCTGGAGGTCATCGAGCTCGTCAACGGGGCTGGGCCGCTCGTCGCGAGTGTCGGATCTTGGGTCAAGGTCGGTGACTTTTCCGTGGTCGGTGTGAGCCACGGTGGCGAGGTTGCTCTTGCATTGTTCACTGAGTGGGGCAACTTTCAGGCTTTCGGTATAGCATTGCTGTGCCACCTTCTAGTTTGCTTTGATGGAGATGATCTTCTCGTCGTGTCCTGGGAACTTCATGGTGAGGTATGGGGTGGATACCACCGCTCCGAGCTGATTCAAGGTTGGCCTGCCGATGATGATGTTATAGGAGGTGTCGGCTTCCACGAGGAGGTACCGAACCATGATTCGCCTTGAGTCCGAGGTGCCCCGAAAGTTGTTAGTATGTCCACATACCCCCGGGTGTGGACGCTCCTTCCTGCAAAACCGACTAGGGGTTCTGTGTGAGGTTGTATGAGAGAGTGGGGGACATCTAACCTGAGGAACATTGGCCAAAATAGGATGTCGGTCGAGCTCCCTTGGTCGACCAGGGTCTTGTGGACCTCCCAATTAGCTAACGCTACGGCTATAACCATGGGGTCGTCCTGGTTGGGGTAGACTCCGGCATAGTCATCGTCGGTGAAAGTGATCATCGGCGAGCTCTGGTGCAAAGCGGGGGTAGTGAAGTGTACGTGGTTGGCGTTGCGCAGGTGCCTTTTCCAGGCCGAGCTGCTGGCGTCTCCTCCTGCGAAACCTCCTGCGATCGTACAGAAAACTTCCCGTAGGGGAGTTGATCCTGCTTCCTGGTTTACCTGGCCTCGCATTGCTCCGTTGGGGTTGAGTTGAAAGCCGGAGGGGTGATCAGAGTGTCGTTGCTGGAGATGGGTGCGAATGTGCTCGTTTTCCTCGCGTAATGCCGCGAGGTTCGCTGCGTTGGCTGTCCGCAGTGCCGCTAAGTCAGCTTCGTGCTTGGCATGCATGTTGCGCAGGTCAGTGTCATGTTGCTATCGCATTTGTTCGACTTGGTCGATCAGTCTTCTCAAGGTTGCAGCGTTGCTGTCCATGGTGATAGAGTGTTCATCGTCGTCTATTGCACGTCTGTTGTGGCTTCTGGTGAATACGATACGGGTGGCCGATAAGGGCTGTCTCGATCAGCCCCACGGTGGGCGCCAAATGTTCCTACCGAAAATCTGCTGTAGAGCTGATCCGCCAGGTAAGATCGGTAAGCCTCCTTCACGGGTACGCTGGTGCTCCAAGATGGGGGTGGTACCTGCAAAAGAGACTTCGATGCCAAAGTTAGGGTTTGTATGAGTAGTAGTCTCGTATATGTAATGCACGTACCTTGGTGTGATTTAGGGTTGCTTTTGGGCCTTGGGCCTGAGGTGAGGTGTAATATGATCAGGTAACGGATCTCGTCTGGGGCGAGATCCTCAGGAATCAGTTATGATTCGCCTACATACTAAGCTGATGTCACGCGGCGCGCGTCCGAGGTCGGCTTGCGTTGTGGTGTCGAGCTCGGAGCTTGGTTACACAGTACGGATAGTACAGGTTATTTAAGAACCGATTTTGTATGTAGTATACAAAATCGGTTCTTAGATAACCGATTTTAAAAGTATCGTCAGAAACCTTTTATCTTTCCCTTCATTCTCATTCTCTTTCATTTTTCCCTCCATTCCTTATTTTACTATCTCGTGCTCTCATCTAAAGTCTCCAACTTTTCATTTTCTTTGCAAGACTAATATATCAAGGTAACATTCTCACGCTCTTCTCATGGCTCTTCTTTCGTTATTAGTTTATTCTGGCTACTTTTGTTGTTGGTTTATTCTGATAAATTTTGAATTTAGGGTTCTGCAATGAAAATGTCCCATTTTGCAAGGAGAACGGCCCGTTCTGCAAGGAGAACGACCTGTGCTGCAAGGAGAACGACCCGTTCTACAAGGAGAATGTCCCGTGCTGCAAGGAGAACGACTCGTTTTACAAGGAGAACAACCCATTCTACAAGGAGAATGACCCATTCTGCAAGGAGAATGACCCATTCTGCAAGGAGAACGACCTGTTCTGTAAGGAGTACGGCCCGTTCTGGGTAGGTTTTTACTCATGACAAACTATGATGGAATGGCCTGTTCCAAACGACAATTTTAGGCCTTTTTAACAACTTGGAACGGCCCATTCTAGTTTTATTTTTTTTCAAAGCCCAGACTTTCCAGATTGGTTATAAAACAATAGATCTTAAAAGTTAACTTTTAAAATAGGTTAAATAACGATTTTAAAAGTCTAACTTTTAAAATCAGCTCTTTCAAAATTGGTTAGAGAACCGATTTTAAAAGTTAAAAATAACCGGTTTTAAAAGCTTTCTTTCAAAGTCTAAGCTTATGCCATGTGTCTGTGGCCGCCTTCCACTCATCTTTGTATAGGTCAAGATTGAAAAGAGAGGAGTGGATGAAGTATCTCTTGCTAAGAGCATCAAGATCAAGTCGACGTCGTCTATGAAGAAAGGCAACAAATATGTCGTTGAAGTGCATCACTTTGCGTGGGGTCATTCAGCGATACCCATGCAGCATGAGAGTCTTGGTCTTTTCTTTATCTGAGAGACCAAACGAACTAGTTTCTTTATGGCATTTATGCATGAAGTTCTGATAGAACTTCTCAGCATCATCTTTAGTGTAGTTTAGTGCTCTGGTAGGATCCTATTTCCAATCCAAGTTCACTCCTTTATAGTGATGAATCTCAACCTTTGATGGCTTGGGCCTCAGTCCCAGATGTAGCGTAGGTTCTTTCATCTTATTTTGATCAATTGGAGGAAGTCGAGGACAAATGCGGTCCAGATAGACGTAAATTTGTGCTTTTGTAGGGGTAAATAGAGAGGGAGGTATGTACAACTGTAAAGGTGTATATATACATAGGTGCAAATGGTCGATTCTAGCGTAGTATGACACTGAGAGTGAGCAATAATGACCTATACGTCAAGGAAGGAATTTGGTCAAAGAATTGCATAACTCTACCTTTGGTAGATGGGATGGAGGATTACTTGGTCATTTGGAGGATGAGGTTTTCTTTCTGGGTGGTGATGAGGATGAGGGTTGTTGATGGAGAGGATGAATGAGTTGAGGAGTTCCTTGTGGTGGAGTCCATGAAAATTTGGACTTGATCACCCCTCCTGGATAGATCTTCCTCTTGAAGGTTGGTGGAGGAAAAGAAGTTGTGCCACCTGGTGGAAGGGCTAGATAGGCCTCAGATGGAGAGAAGGGTACATCTGGGCAGTATGGTGTTCACTCATACACTCCTTCCTCATATTCATATTCTGGCACAGGTACAACATTTTGTCATGGTGGAGAGGAGTTTTCAACTGTTTGAGTGTGAGGGTCGTTGATAGTAAGTGCTGGAAAGTGCTTTAGCAAAAAACACGTAGATGGAGGATGTCTAGGTGTTTCTGCTTGCTGTGGAGAAGATGGAGGTGATTTTTGGTTGAGTCCAAAGGCGGGTGGATGAACAAGAATGGAGTGTAGACACCCAATTTCATCCGCGGGCTTACAAACAATGAAATGGACCTCTGTTTTTGAAGGGAACGAGCTCCCGAAGCATGTAAGCAAAAGGATAGGACATCAGAGGGCCCAAAAGCCCAAATCAAATTTTTAGTGGCCCGGAACGGACCGTTCCATAATTAGAACGGGTCGTTTCCAAGTCCGGAACGGGCCGTTCCAAGCTTTTAAAAAAGGGCAAAAAACCTAATTGGAACAGGCCGTTCCAAAATCGGAACGGACCGTTCCAAACCTAAAAAAGGTGATAAAATCCTTAAACCGGAACGGGTCGTTCCTAAATTGGAACGGGCCGTTCTGGGGTACAAAAATAAGGCTCAATGGCCAGATCCAGAACGGGCCGTTCCGATTTTGGAACGGAACACATTAGTAAGCACATGCAAAGAATAATACAATGTCGGAAAACAGAACAAATGGATACAAGGGGATAAAGAAAAACAATGAAACTTTTTTAGACATCAAGTACCTCCTGTGGCTAGTCATGACACCCCAACCAGCACTTTTAGACATTCTCACAGCTTCAATACTTTCAGTTACACTACCAATTTGATTCACCTGACATTCATATAAATAAATAAATAAATTTCCTAGTTATAGTTGATAGAGAACTTCAGATTAAAAACATAACCTAATTAACATGGAAAAGGCAAAAGTTAATTTACCTTCAACAGAAGGGCATTGCAAGCCTTCTCCTGAATTGCTTTCTCCACACGCTGCAGAGTTAATAATAGACAGAATATTGTCAAAATGATGCATGTTTGCAGAACATAGCCCACAGGTTTTGAAGTTAATATAGCATACCTTTGGATTGGTGACAAGGAGATCATCACCAACAATTTGCACCTGCTGACCAACTTCAGCCGTTAATTTTGCATAGTGCTCCCAGTCATCCTGGTCAAATGGATCCTCAATGGACACAATTGGATAATCTGTCACATATGATTTGTACACATTCTTCAAGCTGTCTCCTGAGATTTTTTGTGATCCATCATTGTTCTGCAACAAGGTAGTCAATTTTATAGTTAAAGCATTTGACAAAGAAATACTTCTCAACTGAGGAAGATGAAAATTTAAGGAAAAAATGGGAAAAAATTTGTAATTTTTCAACCTCTTCCTTAAAATTCAAGTCATATGTTTTGTCCTTGCTGCCATAAAATTCTGAAGCAGCAACGTCCATCCCAATTACAACCTGTGGTAATAGTAATTAATTAGCCATATATTAAGATGCTAAAACAGATTTAGTAGATGAAGACTCAACCTTTCCAGTGTAACCAGCTTTGGCAATGGCAGTCTTCAGAAGCTCGAGACCTTCTTTGTTTTCCTGTAAATTTAACAGAAAAAACATACAATGTGGGGTGATAAAATTGTATTGAACCAGCAGATATAGATAGTTAATGCTCGGTGTACACTGTACAGTAACAGCAGAAAAACATGATAATCTTTTATATATTTTTGGATTATTGAATAAAGATATTGATATGCAGAGAATATAAATAGCTCAGTTAAAAATTATTTATATTTCTTTTAAATAATGCTTAGATCTCTCAAACCAAAAGGAGCAGGTAAGGACCTGGATATTAGGAGCAAAGCCACCTTCATCACCAACGTTGGTAGCATCCTGTCCGTACTTCTTTTTAATCACCGCCTGCGAGATGAACAGATCAACATCTCAAATTATGACCACTAGTAACAATGATTTTTCCTTTCATCCAAATATTTTTAATTTTAAAAAGAAAACTGATGAAAAGGACAGTAACCTTAAGATGATGGTACACTTCTACACCCATTTTCATTGCTTCTTTGAAGGAAGATGCCCCGACAGGGAGAATCATAAACTCCTGTAGAAGACGTAGGGTAAGTAATTCAATAAATAAATAAAATATATATATATATATATACGTGTTCAATTGCAATATTAAATAGACATTACCTGCATTGCTAGCTTATTTCCTGCATGTGAGCCTCCATTGATAACATTGAATGAAGGCACAGGCAGTACCAAATTCTTGTTACCAGCCAGATTGGCGATGTGCTAAAAATTAAAAATAGAAAGCAGACCATGAGAATACAAGATACACAAATAGGAACTATTATTAGTGAAACCTCACATACCTTGTACAGTTGAATTGGTTCTTCTGCGCCTGACAGGGGCAAGGCGCGCGGCAAGGCGGTGGCTACCGGGAGGGGTGTCGCCGAGAGGAAAGAGTTACCCCCGCCTAAGGACCTGGAGCCGGGTGTTCCTGGTTACGACTGGGTCAAGCGCGAGGCGGTGGTCGTCCAAAGTGTGTTCAGGTCGCGCCTGGAGGTCGATGCGGTTTGGAAGTCTCACCGCATTAAAATGACAACTGTTGGTATAGGAGGAATGATCAAGAATGAATGAATTCTTGCTTCTAGGGAATTACAACAAAACTCAATTAAGAATAAAAGCATTGGATAAAAAAAAACCCGCTAGGATGAAAACCCGTAAAGGGCGTCCTAGGCAAAAATTAGCGTAAAGAAAAAAGAATCAAAATCCCGATAAGATACGTCCTAGACCGAGCTCGGGGTTTCCGAGCCTCCAAAGGAGGAGGTTTCCCGCTTGAAGATCAACCGAAAACGAAAGAGGGGTGGGAGAGAGGTCGGGGGACCTCTGCCCCTCATGAGATAGGGGAGGTGGCCTTCGAGGTTATTGGAACTGGGGAGGTGGATCTTGCTGGGCTTCCGCCGTCGAAGGGGGTCGGTCGTGTGGCTG